AATTTTTATGAGAGGAAAAGACTATAGTAAAATTATTGATTTAAGTTTGAATATATTAAATAAACGGGCCCTATAATATTTAAAAGATAACAACAAAATAAAAAACCACCCAATCACGAGACAGACTTCAAGAGCAACACAGGGTCAACAGAAACAAACCCCACTCGAAGAGAAACCTTTAGATGTAGAAAGAATTCGACAAATTCGACACTAGAAACCTGAAAAATGGGCACCAAGGATCAAAATTTCTTAATGCTATGTTTGGTAGGATGGATAGAAAAGGGGAAAGAAAGAGAGTAAAATACTTAGGTGAAAGAAGTAAAATAGTTTTATCTCATATTGTTTGGTAGAAGAGAAAGAAAAGTGAAAAGAAAATGTCAATTTTAAGACATTTTACAATAATACCCCAATACAAATAAAAATATGATGAATGGTGAAGGTTAAAATTATTATTTTACATCTCATTTTTTTGTCAAATTTTTTGCCTTCTTTTTTTTTTCTAAAGTTGGAAGGATTAAAAATTGGTGGGTCCCATAGATTTTTATTTTCCTTCATTTCTCATTTTCTCTATACTAAACAACATAAAATTTCATTTTCCTTTATAAAATTCTTCATCTATTTTCTTTATCTTTCTTTTCCATTCTACTAAACACACTGTAAAATCTAGCAAGAAAAACTACCAATGACCAGTGCGATGGCGGTGGCTAAGGGAGAGGCCCTCCCCTCTTAGAGAAAATGATTCGAATCATGTGTGTTAATGTCTTCTTGTTTTGTGTTTTTTTTTAATTGTATAAAGAAAATAAGTTTTTTAAAAACATACGTCAAGATGGAAGGGTAAATGAGCAATTATGGATTAGATTATTTAACAACAATCATTATATGAGTAACGAGTGTGATTTCCGTTAAAACTACTAACAAAAAAGTGTTTTTGTTAATATTTCTTTCTTAATGAGAACATATATTGCGTTTTGAAGTGTTACATATGTCATAGTTCAAAGGATTCTTTTCTCTAATCCTTTCTATTAGAAGAGACTAAAATTAGATTCTTGAAAGGATTTGAATTTGTAAATCAATCTATCACTTATCTTTTCTCTACTAAAAAAACTATGTTCACTTAAATTCTTTTTACTAATTCTTTATTTTCTTTATTTAAAATAAGGACTTGTCTATAGTCTATCAGTTTGAAAATGGAGGATTTGTCCTCTACGTGCCATCGTATCTGAATGAAAAACTAACGTACTTTTTTTATATTAAGTCGTAACAGTTATTATTTTAAAAATTAAAATTCATTTTTTTAAGTATAAGACAATAAACGACTATCATAAAAGTGTTGGGGACCAGAAAAAATGCCTTAAAATAATGCTTGGAATTGACAGTTTGACTTATATTCTTATTGATGCCCAATAATGTTAGAAGGAAATAAAAATCCGACTATCACTAAATCGTTTAAGTTATTGATTCAAATTCGCAAGTAATCATATGAATAATCGCATTCTCAACTTTAATGCCGATAATTCTTATCAGCATAGGAAAAATTTGCAATATCAATATTCAGGCTTCGTATATTTCGCCGATTCGAGTTTTACTACGGTAAAAAACTCTTAGAAACAGTCACATTTAACTTTTTTGCTACAGTAAAAAACTCTCACATAAAATCACATCTCAACTCGAATTAGCGAACTAAACAGACCCACAATAAAATGCACGATGCATTTCATTAGGTAGAATTCATTATAAAAAAGTTTAAAGTTCCATCAAACTAACAAGAAATTTGAACAAAATTTAGTGAGGAAAAATTTGCACATTCGAACCTCCCTTTATGAAGAATTTTGTTTGGAATTAGATTTCTTCGCTTCTTGCTTTTTTTTTTTTTTTTTTTTTTTTTTTTTTTTTTTTTTTAGGGAATTGGCTTCTTATTAATCGAGACTTAGGGGACGTTTGGTTGGAGGATTCGTGTCATGATTCAGATTATGGTTCGTGGCTCGTTATAATATTTTCTCTCACAAAAAATACACGTAAATAAAAAATAATTCTGAATCATGATTCTGAATCCATCAACCAAACGTCCTCTTAATTGGGCCTGACACCCTGAGCTCTGTTGATTTCTTTCTAGGAGCCCCAACTTTGGACCAACTTGGTTCCAACATAAATAGTTGTTTGGTTGGGGGATTCGTACCCCGATTCGAATTATAGTTTGTGGTTCGGTACAGTATTTTATCTCATAAAAAAATACACATAAATTAAAAATAATTTTAATCTTATAATTTTAATCCATGAACCAAACGTAATTTACCCATCTCTCTAGGAGAACGTTAGCTGAAATAATGGCTGCTTTCCGTTAAAAAGTAAAAACTACTCCATGGCATTTGAATTTTTGAAAAAAATTTAGAGGAGCAAATGAGCAATAACAGCCCTTTTCAACTTTTTTTTTTAAAAAAAAGGAGCAATAACAGATTCCTTGGAACAACTATGTGTCGTTTAGTGGTGAGTGGACTTGATTCCGGAATCCGGACGATTCCTTTCACACCATTACCAAAACGACACCATCTCATGTCGTTTTATGTCATCCCATTTTAAACTCAAGCTCAAACAGATCAGATCACCAGATCCGCTTCTTTAACTTCGGTAATGACTTATGGGGAGAACATGGGACTAATGGGAGAGTCCACAACAAGGCTAGGGTAGACCATTAGGTGACTTAATTATTATTATTAGAGTAATTGAGTGACTTAATCATTAATTAATGGTAATTAGTTGTTGCCTTCATGTGGGGTCCAGCTCATCCTGAAGGATAATAATGTCTGCCAAAAAAATTAAAAGCTGCCAGATCACATGTTAATTGCAATCAACTCCACAGTCCACACCGTTGGTACAACTAACCTCTTTTAACTTTCAAATTTGCTTCTCCCTCCAATTCTTCTGCAGTTTCGTATCGTAAGACTAGTCACTCTTTTTTTTTTCTTTTTTTTTTTTTTATGATGCTCAGAATTTTTCCCCACATGTGTTTTTATATGATATTTTATGGTCGAGAGTCCTTACTAATAATGTGCATTTATTAGTAATAAATTACAAGAGAATTAGAGGGCACACAAACTTTACATAATCCAATGCAAATTTAATAATACATTGGGCAAAACTATTAGTTGAGAATATATAATATGTAATGTAAGTACTATACAATATTGCTTGGTCCAAGTCTAACCTCTGTGACTATTAAAAAGAGAAAGGTACATAATTTGTTATGAATTTTGCAAGCTTATTATTTGTGTTATTTTAAACAATTAAGTGCTATTATAACTTTTTTTCTGTTTATTAATTGAATTACAATAGTTTACTTTTGAAGAGTGTGACATAAATAATATTTTTTTATTATTTTTAGTGGTATTTTTGGTTTTTTCCATCAAAAAAATAAGTTCTTTGGGCCTTATGCACGAATTCAGTTTTATAACAAAGTGTATTGCTTGATATAACACTGAAGTGAACGTCAAATGAAACTTGTAAAATGGATAAAGAATGAAGATCGGATATTTATCTTTGTTTAAAATGCATTATAGGCCCGTTCAAAAAAAAAAAAAAAAGTCAACCCCACTCTTATCTTAAAAAAAAAAAACCCCACTCTTATCAAACCACGAATTTGTTGATGATCACGTGATATTACACGTTCTAAGAATGATCTCATATACTTTAACAGACAGTTGAGCGTCATCAATTTTATTTGTGGAGTTTGGATCTATGACAACTTACTAATATAAATTTCAGATTCTTCTTAAACAAATTCCAGAGTGATTTTTTGTAGGCTTAAAATATTAACAGTGCCCATAAACCATAAGAAGTTAAATACAACTTTTTATTCTTTCGGTTTTTCTTCGAGTTAGACAAGTTTTTGATCGTTAAATGTAAAATAAATAATTTTTTGTACAAGTTTAACGGTTGAAAAATAGAGGGTATGTTCATTTTTATGACTCAAGTCATATTGCTACAGTGTGTTCTTTCATAAAAATTAAAGTCGTACAAAAGAACAAGCCTAGAATCTTTCGATAGTTTATTTTCGAGTGATTCTAGTAAATAACATCTTTATAAACTAAATTAAATAAATAATATATTGTAAAATTATTTAAAATAAATAACAATTTACTGCGTAAATATTTTATTTACGACTAGTAAAAAGATTTTATTTTCGACGAGCAAAAATATTTTTTTAACATAATTTTTCATTTTACGACTACTAAAAATTTTTTTTAACACATAAATTATTTTTTACCAATCGTAAATAGCACATTTACATCGTAAACTGTTATTTATTTTAAATAATTTTAAAATTTATTATTTACAAAATTTAATTTTAAAAATATGCTATTTGATATAATTTCTATTATTTTTTAGTACCTATTAAAAAAATCCTTTATTCTTTATACAATAAACCTTAATTTATGTGATCCCGCCGTAGGTTTGGGTTTTTTTGTTTTTTGTTTTTTTTTAAGGATGTAGATTGAGGTTAAGGTTAACAAGAAAAAAAAACATTTTATCAACAGAGAAAAAAAAAAAGAAAAAATCAACCCAATCTATCCGTTGCCACGTGTCGCCCAACGACAAGTGTAATCGTCAGGGCACCGTAATTAATATTTCCCCCTTAATCCACTAACAAATCGAACCTGAGCACCGTAATTACGAAAAACTCAACCTTCATATCCCAAATGATAAACAAATCAGCTAAAAAGAGACTTTATAACGTATAAATTGAGGGGCAATATAGTAATCGCACGTCCAAAAGACCCGTTTCCCACGCGCGATTTACCGTAAATCACAATCCAAATCCAAAATCAAATTAAAGGCAAAACAAGCACTGAATGAACTGTACGCTCATACTCTTTAAGTCAACCGGTCAACAAGCCATCTTTTCGTATTAAAAAATCATACTGAAAGAATTTAATCCAATTTAATAAATATCTTTTTTTTTTTCTTTATTCTTTAATTTTAAAGCCTCCATTTTCTCTCTCTCTCTCTCGAGGTTTTCAAATTCCACAACCATACCGCTCACTCATCAGAGTTCCTCTCTCTGTCTCCGAGCTTTCATCTCTGTCTATGGAGGTCTTGGAACTCAGAAGAGCTTCTCAGGTCAATCTTCGACCAATCTCATACCACATATTTATGGAAAATTTTTCGTGATATTTGGGATCTGGATTTTGGTACTGATATGTGGTTTTTCCGGCGACAGTAATCGATTAGGGTTGATTGGGTCTTTGAAAATTTTGTGAATTTCCTCAAGATTTTGGGTCATACATATAATATCCTCATTTGCGTTCTTTCAAGCTTGATAAAAGAATATATATATATATATATATATATATATATATGTATATGTATATGTATATATACAGACGCAAGGAAAGGAAAAAAAAAACTAGACTAAATTGAAGTTCATTTGAGAATTTTTGTTAAAATGTTCGAATCTTTCTCTCTCTCTCTCTCTTTTAAGATTTTTTTTTGGAGGGGGGGAGACTGGTCGGGATGTTGATTTTTCGTGATAATTTGTCCAAAAATTGAAAAAGCGTGGAGCTTGTACCTGGGAAATTTGTGCAAAGGAAGAAGTTCAGCTTATGAACCCAATGTACTCGTTGTTTTGGTCCCAGCTCTGTCAAGTAACGCAAGATTTAAGTGAAAAAGATTCAAAATTTGTTCTCAGTGCAACGATTGTGGTTGTTGTTATTGTTGTTGTTGTTGGTTTTTTTTATTTTTTTTATTTGAATTTGAATTTAGTCCTCAATATCTGAATGGGCTATTTTCTTGTATTTTCTTATGTTAAAGTCGATGCTTATTATGCATGAATCACGGAACTAATTGGTGTCAAGAATTTCTCTGTAATAGACGTTTAATGTTCTTTGATCTGCCACTTTTAAGTCAGTGTCCTTTTGTACTGTAGAATGCCTTTTGGTACCTATATCTTCGATTGAAGCTTTTGAATCTAATTTATTTACCTAAATCTTTATAGCAGATTGTCGATTGTCAGCTTGTTTTAGAAATCATTTGGCCTGATTTCTTGCAGGTTTCATAAACCTCTTACAATTTGATTCTTGGTTCCTTGCTTCTCCAAGCCTTTGTAAACATGGGAAAAGAAAATCTAGTAAATGCTAACGTTCAGGAGCTTCCCGGTCGAATAACACGTTCTCGAGCATCGGCATTGCTCACATCGCAGCAGATGCCACCTGTAAAAGCACCTGTCCAGCCCAAAAAGAGGAGGGCTTTGCAGATAAATCCCAAGAGAGCTGCCGCTGATGAGAACAACAGCAATGCTGGGAATGCCTTTCTCCAGTGTAAGAGGAGGGTGGTGCTTCAGGACGTGACCAATTTTTGCTGCTTCAACACAACTAAGATTCAGGTAAATAATCCGTTATTCGGAAGTTATATTAGCAAAATTATTTTTATGAAAGAAAACTATCGGTTTTATATTAGCGAAATGATCACTGCCTCGATGATGATTTCTGTGTCATGGTGTCTTATTATTTGCAAAATTACAGGATATATCAGTATTTGTTTCATGAAAGCCTTCATCCTTTTCTAAAGAATCTGATTTTTGCTTCCTTACATTTTTTTTACAATTACTAGGCTAAGAGCAGCAAGCCGGCTAAAAAGGAGCAGGCTAAGGTGACCAAATTGACCTCTTCAGTTGTAACAGTGTTCCCTTCTGTTAAAGCTGATTTGAAAGAAAAGACTGTGAAAGAAGCAGTAAAACCAGAACATAAATCTGAAGAGATCATATCTTCAGTGCATTTGGTAGAAAACTTACATCATTGGTTAACAAGCACGAAGGGGTTTGGAAAACATGAGTTTGAGTTGGGAAGTCAAAGTTCTGAAATAACTTCAGCACTTCAAAGTCCTTCAAAGAAAGGTTAGGTTCTCACTCCAATTGTCTTACCTACAACTTACAAACATGACAACCCTGATAACATGACTTGCTTGTACGACTGTGCACGAGCTTTAGCATAATTTAAGGAAGATACAAATTAAAGAATGAAACATGATTGACATCAGTAATAGCATGTCATTACTGGCGCATGATGTTGAAAAAGAGAGGGCTAATATCTTATTGGATTATAAAATGATTGTATGGTTGAACTTTTATTGGCAAGACTCATGGCCTTGGGAGTATATATGACATTAATATATTTATTTATGCACTGTATGAGATCTGGATGTACAACGTGAGGTGGTTCTTGGTTTTTATGATTTTTGTTTCTGTTCCATATTGCCTCATTGAGTTGTGACATTTTTTGTTTCAGTTGTTGAGGCAGAGAAAGGTAATGCTTGTGGGGACATCATTACTTCAAGAAGTCCAGACATTGTTGATGTTGATGCAGATCACAAGGATCCTCACTTGTGTTCTACATACGCCCCAGATATCTATAGCAACTTGCGTGTTGCAGAGGTTTGTGCTACCAATATTTTCCTTGTTTTCAGAGTCGGACTTAATCATATTCATCATGAGCTTTATTCTTCTATGTGCTCTGTTTATCTTGATGAGAGCCTGATTTTGATTTTCAATCCCTTGGTTCTTCTTCCACAGCTTGCCCGAAGGCCGTTTCCTAATTTTATGGAAACGATACAGCGAGATATCACCCAAAGTATGCGAGGGATTCTGGTTGATTGGCTTGTAGAGGTTAGGACAGTTCTTTTATTTGTTAGGTTAATTTGAATATGCATCGTATCCGGTATAGCAGTATGTTGGTGTAACCATATAAAGTTGTTTTGTCATTTCTATCATGTTTCTAATTTCTCTCTTATATAGTTTATCATGCAAAATACCTAACCGACACAATAGATGATGAATACAATCTTGGTTTCAGGTGTCAGAGGAATATAAGTTGGTGCCGGATACACTTTACCTCACGGTATATCTGATTGATCGGTTTCTCTCTCAAAATTACATTGAAAGACGCAAGCTTCAACTTATTGGCATCACTTGCATGCTAATTTCCTCGTAAGCTTTCTTATCTATTTCAAAGTTATTTGCTGCATGACTTCTGATTCGAAATTTTGAACTTTAAGAAGTCGTATAGCTTTTGATTAAAATGCAGATCTGAAAACAACCGTGACAATAGCAAATGAAAAATACAGTAAAATTTTTAATGACTTGGTTTTAACTTCAAGAATATCTATCTTAATCTTGTTTCATTGAATTTGAGTGCGGTTTTTCGATTTTGGCTTGAAGGAAATATGAAGAAATTTGTGCACCACGTGTAGAGGAATTTTGCTTCATCACTGACAACACCTACACAAGAGAGGAGGTATTTCATATCCCCTTCTCATGCTAGGCTTGAGCGACTGTGTAAAAAATAATGATTTTCGAGTATTTTTCCTATTGTTTTACCATCCATGATGCTTCTGCATGCAAGCAAACACTCTAATTCGAAACTAATTTCTTAAAATGCACTCAAAAGATGTTTTGTTTCTGCGTTTGTTACTTTAGCGATTCATAAGATCTTTTTTTTTAATGTATTCTTGTCCCATTAAATTTTCTTTTGTTTGCACTCCTGAGTTTAAGTGAATTTGCAGGTCTTAAAAATGGAGATTGAAGTGTTGAAGTGTTTCAATTTTCAACTCTTTGCACCCACGGCGAAAACTTTTCTCAGGTACTTTAGCAATTTTGACGTTTCAGCATCTACTTGAGATGTAATTTCTAACTATTTGATGCTTCTTCCACATGTATGTATCCCAAATGCTTTCTTGTTTTTCAGGAGATTTCTTCGAGCGGCTCAAGCTTCATATACGGTAATGGTGCTTTTATAGGTTCTTGCTGGTCATGTAGCAGCGTATGCCAATCTCTCTTTGTTAGTAACTTACATGTCTAAATACCAAATTTTGCAGAGTCCTAGTCTTGAACTGGAGTGCTTGGCCAATTATTTGACTGAACTAACACTAGTAGACTATGACTTCTTGAATTTCCTTCCTTCTGTCATTGCCGCGTCGGCCATATTTCTCGCTAGATGGACGTTAGATCAGACTAGCCATCCATGGGTTCGTCGTTTCTCCTTTTATTTTCCTTTTCCGAGTTTCAAACATGTAGTGGAAGTGTGACTTTATCTTTCATTGCAATCAGAACTCAACGCTAGAACACTATACCTCATACAAGGCGGCAGATTTGAAAGTGGCTGTTGTTGCCTTGCAAGACTCGCAGTTGAACACCAATGGTTGTCCGCTTGGTGTCATACGTTTGAAGTATAGGCAAGAAAAGGTAATTGCTGTTTTCTAGAAATGAAACTCGTTTGTTTTAAAGTTTTCATATTTGTTTATCTTTGTGAGTTTCTAATGTGACAATCACTGCTGTAGCAGTTTAAATCGGTCGCAGCATTGTCTTCAGTGAAGCTGCTGGAAACACTTTTTTGAAGAAAAGAGATGGCTTATGGACATTCTTTTTGCAAGACTGCTAACCGATAGGTATACTTTTTACAAGGAAGTTTCCTCTGGATGGTTTTTTTCACACGACGAGCTTGTATTTGACCGCTAATTTTAATCCCGTCTCTATTCGATTTCTATTCATTTGTGCCCAATTGGTTTTTAACTCTCTGGTATAGGACTATAGGCTTCTGACCTTTGGTGTCCTGGTTCTTCCAGCCCTTTTGTCTTTGTAAAATTGAACGAAGGATGGCCACTAAGTTTGAATTTCAAAACAAATTGTATAAATTTGTCACGTAATGGTAATTACCTTATTTTATTTTAAAGTAGAACGTGATCAGGTTATTGATCAGAATTGGTTTTTATTCAGTTGTAAAGTCTCAAGAGAGAACAGAACTATTTTATTACTCAATCTCCTATTCTAGTTGTCTTATGGAACCTTTTTCTTTCTCATTTCTTGTAACATTATTCACTTGAATCTCACATACAGCAATTGTTTACTAAACAGCCTAAAAAGAAAACGTTGTTTAAGTGATTTTATTTATTGTTCAAGGAAATTCTACAATGGGTATAACCTATAACTGACAATTTGTGTTTGTGTGTCGTGTTCGAACCGACACGATTATAATAAATACGAGCATGACATGATTAATAAACGTGTTAGAAACTCAAACACGAACACGAAACGTTAATAACACGGTTAACACGATACGATACACAAACACGATTATTAAATAGGCCGTGACGGGTTGATACAAAAAAATACGTTTATAACCCAACTAGCAAAAATAGTGAAATTTTATATTGTATTTAAAATTAATATTAATTAACTACTTAATATCACTTATAGTTAAAATTTAGTGAGCATATAATAAGAAAAACATAAATCATCTAATTCAACATAATAGCCAACACACATAAAAATATCCAAATATTAAACACACACACACACACACACACATATGATACTACTAGATTATTATATATATGTTTCAAAACATACCAATTACCAAACATCTAAAGAAGTTTGAAAACATAACCAAGTGCATCTAAATAAGTTTGAAAACATAACCAAATATTTGAATGTTTAAGTGCATAAAACATAAAATAAATATAGAAAAATGTCTTCTTTGAGGTTGAATGCCCAACTACGCTCCAAAATTAGTTTTCAGTTGCTTTAACCTATTCATAGATGTCTTTTTATAAATATCATAAGGTTGAATGTCTTTTTTAATTTATTAAAAAAATTTTATTTTTGTACATGGGTTATAAACAGAGGAGTTGTGTCATGTCGTGTCGACCCATTAACGGCATGTATAACTAAACGAGTTAAGCGGGCTGGCACGAATCCAACCCATTTATTTTCGTGTTATTCGTGTCAGTCCGTTAACGACTCAATTAATAATCGTGCAATCTAAATCCATTTATCTCGTGTCGTTTTCGTACCGTTTCATCGTATCGTGTCAGAAATTACCAGCTCTATCTATAAGGCATATAGGCTTTTTGGTCACGGCCGTAAGATTTAAATTATACAGTGCAATACTATTGGATTCATTTGGACATTTGACATAGTATTATTGTATTTTATACAATAGTAGTGTATGCTCGAAATTTATTATACTTATAGTAGAGTGTTTTATAGTAAAATTTTTCAGAAGTTTCTCTAGTATTAAAAATTATGTGTTGTGTATATTTTTATAATTTAATGTGATTTTAAATTAAGGAAAAAAAATTCCTGACGAAGCTCAATCTCATAACAGTGCATTATTAAATAATGCTGGAATATCACAAGATTCCGGGCGTTAAGATGTTGTTTCTTGTACGGCATTCGGTCAACGCCATTGCTTTGACCAGCGAACCTATCGAAATATGCAATTCAAATAAAAATAATTTTGGCAGTTTTAGGAACAAAAATAATTTGGAGGAAAAAATAAAAAAGAAAATCGGTTAAATCTGTTTCTCGTCTCCGTCTGTATATATATTTTTGTTCATAAAAGATATGTGCATATGACGTGGCGATACATTATTGGAAGAAGATGATAACAAATTTCAGCCAGAAGATTTAAATGCTTAAATTCCATTTGAATTTAAAATTTAAATTTTATTACAATACATTTAATTTTTTTATTACAATAAAAAATTATCATATAAAATTATCTCTCCACTAAAATTAAAAATTACAATAACGTATTAAAAAGACGGCTGGTTACTGTAGTCTAGTGACGAACCCATCCGATATTTTTTCTTATTTCACAAGATCCAACCATTTTTTTGGGTTCTGAATTGTAGGCTTTTCGTTTGCCACCAAATAATTCGTCGATTTTATCTTTCACTTGAATCTTTGAGAAGCACAGAAATGGCGGCTTTGAACGTCTTATCCCCGCCTCATCCACAGACTCCCTCTTTCCCATTTCTTAATCTTAACAATTCTTTCTGTAATGGCGTTTCCAATTGTAAATTCCGTTTTCTTTCTTATTCTAACCGCTTCACTCTTCATTCTTCTCCACTGGCTATGCACTTCTCAAAATCTGGTACAATTTCCTCTTTTTTTTTTTTTCTTTGTTCAATTTTCACGTAATTCCATTTACTTTACTCGTCACAGAGTGTGAATTTGTCAATTCGATTATTGATAATGCGGTACTGTTCTGGTTTGGAATTGTTTGTTTGTTTTTTTTTCCTTCGCTTTTGGAAGAAATCGCGCTCATTTGGATGTTAATCAAATCTGTGCAATTCATAAATTTTAGGCCTTTTTTTTTTTCCTTAATTCACAAATCGCAATTGAATATTCTACCATCTATTCTCTTGCAAGATAGTTTTGTAAGTCTCAGTTACTCGCCATCAAACTCATCCGTGAAAGGTAATAAAATGTGTCTTTGGTTTGGTTGGAAGTAAAAATCTGCTCCTTAATTTTGAGGGAAAAGGTGACGGTTTGTTGAATGCATAAAGTTTTTAAGGTTGTAATTTTAGGAATCGTTCACATTAGCTTTATATGTCTATTCCATCATCTTCGCACATTTCCATTTTCTTTCTTTTCTCTGTGCATATGGATGTTTTCATGTTAGGTTAGAATTTTCACTGTAGATCGTATAGTAGAATACAATTGTACACACAATGTTGGCATTGTTTTAATTTATGAAATGTTTAACAGGATTAGAGTAGTGAAGACTTAGTTGTTGTTTATGTCGCTTGGACTTGAAGTCAGAGCTAATCTGTATCTTTCCATATTTAGGGACTTCTGCTGGCAGTGGGTGTTCGTGGATGCAAGAAAGTTTGACGTGTCACAATGCTTCTGCCGGCAATGAGAGGCAGCGGGGCCATCTATATTCGGTGTTTCCGGCAAAAGCTGCAGAAGTTTCCTCTGTGCAGGACCTTTATGATTTTATATGCTCAGGTCCTCTACTCAACAGAGTGGGTTTGACGCCGGATTCAATAGCCGAGTCCATTGACAAGTGGTTAGCATATGGCTCGCACCTTTGTCGACTGTTTCAGCTCAACGAATTGTACCTCAATTTTAATCAGAAAGTTAGGTTTTATCACTACTATATACCAGTGTTTATGTGGTGTGAAGACCAGATTTCCCAACACAGATCCGGGTATAAAGAGGGAGAAGATATCCCTCCTCTTGTGGTACGGCTTTTATGTTCCAGCCATTATCTCAATTACACTGTTACTCTACGTTCTGTTTCCATTTGGGTTTTATTCTACTACTATATTTTCTGAAAATGATGACAAAATAAATGGAAGGGCTTGCAGCTATGGAGGGTCAGTGATATAATTACTAAAGCTAAAAATTTGTCCAACCGCAGATCGGTTTCAGTGCTCCGCAAGGCTGTGGAAAGACTACACTCGTCTTTGCTCTGGATTATCTTTTTCGCGTTACTGGCAGGTAGGCTGCAGAGCATTTGCCTGTTATGGAAGTCTTGAAAAATTTAAAGAAAATTTAGGATTGTTGACATAGTTTCAAATCTCAGGAAGTCTGCTACAGTGTCCATTGATGACTTCTATTTGACTGCACAGGGCCAGGTCAGGGAGTTTGACACTTCATATTTTCTTGTGTCCGATTTTACTTTCTGATGCTCTCTTTCTTCTTTTTTTTTTTTTTTTTTTTTAATATATAAATTAATGGTAGGCTAAACTGAGGGAGCAAAATCCTGGTAATGCACTTTTGGAGGTAGCAAAGGAAACCTATACGCCTTTTCACTTGTCAATTTTATGTAGCAAAGAAGTCGACCATAACTTGCTAATTTTGTTCTATATATCATTCCTTTTATATTGTTTATAGTACCGTGGAAATGCTGGCAGCCATGATCTTCCTTTCTCTGTTGAAACCTTGATAGCTCTAAACAAATTGACTAAAGAGGGTGAGTCGTTTTCACTCATCATTCTTTGCAATGACGCATGTTCTTGTCTCTCTCTCTCTCTCTCTCTCTCTCTCTCTCTCTTTCTTTTTGCTCCCTAAATGTTTGGAATATGAATTATTCAGGTGTGAAGATGAAGCTGCCCAGATATGATAAGGTAAGCACAGAATTGTCCTAAATCTGAACCTTTCTCGGTCAAAATCTGAGTGCAAATTTGCTTATCATAGATCATTTCTTTCTTTCAGTCCGCTTATAGTGGGAAGGGTGACAGAGCTGACTCTAAAACGTGGCCTGAGGTTGAGGGGCCGCTTGTGGTATGAGGATTTTCGAGTTTAAAGCACAGTTTTATTTTGGCGTTCTTGAAAACTGATTATGCAGAAATAATAGTGTACAGAACGAAGTTGCATCAATGCCTTTATATTTTGGATGTGAAACTGAGGTGTCTAGTCTAAACGGCAATAGAGTTATATTAGTTAGTTTTGAAATCATCAGTTTTCGGAAATTAAGAGAAGTTTTTTCTAGCCAAAAAAAAAAAGAGAGAAAAGTTATCTCATGCAAGAAATATTTTGTTCTTTGGTTGGTCATTTAGGCTGTCCTGTTTGAAGGTTGGATGCTTGGCTTCAAACCACTTCCAGTGGAAGTTGTCACGGCTGTTGATCCTCAGGTTAGAGCAAAAAGAATATTTGAAAGTCCCTGGTGATATTGCTTGTGCATAGTATTGATTAGTAATCTGAATTTTACTCTAGCTGGAGACCGTGAACAAAAATCTTGAAGCTTATTACGATGCATGGGACAAGTTCATAAAGGCGTGGATAGTTATAAAGATTAAGGATCCTACTTGTGTATACCAGTGGCGTTTGCAGGTTTGCTTTTGTGCTGACATGCTATATTTGCATACTTTTAATTGTTATCCCAATTTCCAAATTAATATGTACTATGCGGAATCTGCAGGCAGAGATTGCTATGAGAGAAGCAGGCAAACCTGGGATGTCTGATGAAGAGGTGTCTTAGTCTGCATACATTTGTTTCTGATAACAGTATTAATGTAACTTTCAATGAGTTCTAACAACAGAAATTGAAGCATTTTGCGGGGAATTCATTTTGCAGGTGAAAGATTTTGTTTCGCGGTACCTTCCTGCATACAATGCTTACCTTCCCACTCTTTACTCTGAAGGACCAAATGGATCAGATCCAGATCATCTACTCGTGATCGAAATTGATGAAGGGAGAAACCCCATCCTTGCCAACTAATAAGTGACTGATAACTTCAACTTGAGGCTGCAGTGGAGCCAATTTTGATTTTCTACAGATGAACTTTGCAGGAGAGCCTGATATTAAAGTAGGTAATTTTATAGATCCTAGTTACTATTCCTGATTGAAAAATATACCCCGTATTCAAGCAATACTTTTAAGTCTCCTCTAGCAGTAGTTGATAATGGCATTTTGTTCTCCGCAATCATAGAAAGTTCAAAGGAGGGGGTAAGAAGAGTCTAGGGTCTATATTGTTATCGGAAGGATCAAATTTTCCTGTTGAAGTATTCAGAGTGGGGAAAAATCTTTGTAAATGTACTGTACAATAAGAGGTATTAACGATGGATTTTTCCCCCCCCCCCCCTTCTTATTCATGTATTCTTTGTTGTAAAAGAAATAACACTGATTCACATCTTCTTATCTCATCAAATGTCTTTTAAATCATCAAATTATACAACATCATTCTCGGAATAAGAAACCATTCTCGTTACCATCCAACAAATAGTCTACTCAAATGTAGTGATCTAAGGGCAGCAACAGCAGGCACCGCCCGAGCAACATTCGCAACACTCGTAGCAGCAACAACAACACATTGCGAAGAACCTGCGTCGGAACCAAATATGAAGTGGAGATGGAAAAGGCATGAAGTCCATAAAAAGACGTAAAAACTTGGAGTGGAAATGAAGGGTATACATACCAGGCATAGAGGCATCCTTTCTCTTCTTGGCGTTTCTTGATATGATCATGGTAAGACATCTTTTGCTGGGGTGGTGCACCAACCATCTTTTCTATTTTCTTGTAGTTCTGATAGAGAGAATCTTGATTGATATAAAAAGTTAGGAAAGACTTTTTTTTATTAAAAGGTTATATTCTTAGTTTGAAAACGGTTCTCTCGCTGTCTCATTTATATTGGTGGTTAATAATGTAGTAGGAAAGCAGGAAAGTCGCTTTTTCTCTGCTCTCTTCTATTTTGGCAAGTAATAAATGAATTGTGGAAAAGAGCCTCTTTCCCTCTCCCAAAAAGTAATATTTGTCCAGCTGAGATAGGCATATGGCAACTGCCACATGGTTGCCTTAAATGTTGGGACATGGCAGATGAGAGCATTTTGTGATAGAACCCTCTAGTTATACACAATAATACTTTTTTTATTGCAATTTATAAAAAGTAAAAAAATAAAATAAAATAAAAAATTAATTGGTTATAACATGGATTGAAAAATCCTAACTAATTTATAAAGGGTATTGCTATTTGCTTTGTAAGAATAAGAAGAAACTTCTATGAAATGAAAGTGTTTCGCGGGAATTGTCTTGGTAGTGGGATATCATTGAGAAATAGAAAGAAATGTTATCGAACGATTTCCTCATGTTTATAACATTAAATTTAGTCAAAATTACATCAAAATGAAAAAAAAAAATATTTAAATCTAATAGAACTTGATACAGATTTGATAGTTCAAACCAAAGTTGTATTAGTGGGTATATTCTCCTGTGTAAACATCTCTATAATTCTTCTGGTGAATAAATTTATATCATACATGGAGCTTATTAGGCTCCTACTTAGTTGCGTTAATCTTATGTTTTCTTTTTGTTTTCAGAAGTGAAATTGTATTTGCAAATCGAAGCAAAACATGTCCTGCTACTAGATAAATCACTCATGAAAGGTTACGTTTGTTGTTGTTGTTGTTGGGTTCGTTCTTTTTTTTTTTTTTTTTTTCTTAACAGCTAGCAAGGGTACCACACATTTTCAATTTTCTTTTCAACTACGGTTAATCAATCTTCGAGGGGTTCATATTGTGATTGTAAGAGACAAAACAATCATAACTGAAAACGTGATCTAATTACCATCTCAAATAGTTCGAGCCTTCAAGGCCAAATTTATAAATAAAGTTAAAAATCTTAAAAAGAGCATTTGTGAATAATCAGATCAATACAGGCGGACTGCTTTCAGAGCCCAAATTGGCCTACAGTGGTTCTTTGGGCTATAGTTAAACTACTAAATTGACCACCAATACCAAAAAGTTCTATGCATTTTTCATCATTGTTAATTGGCTATGTAATTGTGGATAGAAATTTCATCTTCAGATAGATAATCACACAATGTAAAAGAGAAGGGTACAAATCTTATGTATATCGTGTTGAGTAAACAAAACAAAAGCATCTCTTATTTTGGACCTAATCAAAACTCTTTAACCCAAAGAAGTATTGAGTCGTATAAAAACCAAAAAGAAAAGCCGCCTCTGTACATCATCTGAATCTTGCTGATTATGAAGAAGGCTAATTCTTTCAATCACTTGTGCTTTCACATTTTGGAGATCTCTTTGGAGATGCTGCAAAATAGACCCCCGCAAAAAAAACCCAAAAAAAAAAAAAAAAAAAAAAAAAAAACCAAAGGACACGAACGATCAATACATGAATGAATAATTAATGGATCTTGTAATTGTAAAAGCATGTGAATTATTACAAGACAAAAACTATTTAGATTTATTACCTTAGTCCAATTGCTTCTGATCTTTTCATTAACCTCAATCGCTTGCACGATTCAACAAACATTCTGTTCATGGGAAAAAAAGGGATTAGTATATATTTTCTTAACAAAACAAAAACCACACAAGAAAAAGAAAAGGAGGAAAAAAAGAAGAAGTTTTTTTTTCTTTTTTGTTTTTTTGACTTACGTCCATGGTACATCTCCAACAAGCATCCAGTCACCATCTTTGTCCTCATAAGTGGGTAAATATTCCATCCCATTTACGGGGTCCATAAGCTTTCTTTCATTCAAATAGTTCCCTGTTACAAAATATTTATCAATAAGACTAAATTCCAATAAAAGAATTTTCTAAATTCTAAAACATATACACATACTACTTTTTTTTTTTTTTTTTTTTTTTTAATTGACATTCATATGAGAATATGCTACTACTTACGGATGGTCAAGCAGCTGGAAAACATGTCTTGTAAAGCAGTGAGAAGCTGGTTATAACTATTGTACATCTCAAGATCAACTTTTCTCAGATATGGAGCTCCATCTAACCCCACCTTTATGAATTTGCAACTCTTCATCACATTTTTTCTTGATGCTCTCACCGGAGGCCACCCCACCACTTGTGCCCTGAATTATACATATACATCCAATATTATTTTTGCAAATAATTAATAAGATTGGAATCCTTCCAAAAAATATTTAGAAATCATGTACATATATATATATATATATATCATGTGTATGTATGAGATGATTTATCACTTTGTATATGAATGAATATGTCTTACTTGGCTGGTGGAGGTTTAGATGCACTTGCTTCATCAATGACAACCCCATTATCATCACTTTCACTCTGTTTCTGGCTTGAGCTCTCAACATTAAGATCAATGGTATCGGAATACCCGCGTTTCGTGCCCGATTTTGCTCCGATCTCAGTCGGTCCACGCGTCTTGCCGGGCAACCCTAGGGTCAATTTTGTCTCCTCGAAATTGAGCCCAGCGGCATTGGATTCCAGCGAGTGCTTCCCATTTTCCTTGGACATCTTTTTTGTTTCTCTTTTCTCCCCCTTTTGAGTTTTTTCCTTTGAACTACTATTATGCTCAGGTGAGTCGGTCACGGTATGATAACAAGAAAATTATGTAGGAAAGCACCAAACCTTGGGCTGTGAGATATATATGCCTTGGCAAAATCATTGAACCACTCATGTTTTGACACGTAGCAAGTGAAGAGCGGTTCCTATTCGTCCATGTAGGTGACAGGCAGTATATGACGGAAGCGCGTGTGTCTGATTTGGGTGCTTGAGAGTTTGGGCCCGCTGTCGGTTTTCATTGTTCCCTCAGCTTTTAATACTTTATGAGTTTGGGGGGTGGAATCCTGTGTGTTGCAACGATCCAGACTACATTTTGTGATCAACTCAAGAGATTCGCTTAATGGAAAAGATTGATCCAATCGAGTCCGCTGATCTTATTCTTAATGGACAAAAGAAAAAGCGATCATTGAAAAAGAAATCAGAGAGTCTACCCCCTTAACTCACCTTTTTAATCGGTATTTTTTTTAATAAAAATTTTCCTTTTGAATTGATGTATGATAAGAGAAGTTGAGGACATAAATGATAAATCTTATGATGTTCAAAAAATATATAAAATGTTTTATTCCCTTAATGAAAAGGCATTACTCTAGACTTTTCTTTTTTTGTCTGTGCAATTTATATCGTTACTACAAATTACAAAATATAGATGTGCCCTTGCTGAAAAAAAGAGTTTTTTTTTTTATAAAAAATAATGAGTTAATTAATTCATGAATTTAAGACAAAAAATATAAGTGAAAATAAATTCATAATAGATAATCATATTATACATGTCAAGATAGTCTATGATATTCTTAATTACATAATTATCACTTCGTAGGATGTAAAAAATTTCAATTCACAACTTTATTCAAGCTAAAACAATAATGTGAAACTATCTTTGCGGGATTTTTTCTCACTTAATTCTCCCCACATCAATCAAAATATGCTGTCTTATTTTTTTGTTTCGGTGGCTATCATTCTATTTATATTTTGACAATTCAAGAATTGTTTAAGTACTTTTAGGGTATATTCATTTTACAACTCCAGTCATAACTTGAGTTATGACTTGAGTTGTGTATGTGAGAGAAAAACGAATGTAACAAAAAAGTTGAACTTAAATTTTTATAAGAGAAAATATTGTAAATAAAACTTAAGTTGTGAAATGAACAAGACCTTAGTATTTTGTTCCTATTTATATGGTCAGATTCTTAAATTTAGATAAGATGACAAATAATTAGTGGAATTACAGCCATCGAGACATAAAAATGATAACAACAAATTTGGACTCCTCCCCACATAAAAGTAACTCCAACCATGCTAACTATTTTATGTTTTTAGTCAAAATAGCTAATGATTTAGCTTTTCTCCATTCTAACTATTAGCTAAATGGTTAGATATTTTGGTTAAAACATTTTTCACTTGCTAAATATAACTAACAAGAAGTGACTAACTTGTTTTTTTTATTATTTCATTTTTTGTTTTGACATAAAGTAAAAATTAAAAAAAGTTATTTATATTTTAAACTCAAAAAAATATTAAAATAATTTATGTTTAACTAAAATAAAAAATATAGTTAAAGTGACTCACTATAAAATTATTAACTAAAATAACTTTCTAATTATTTTAATTAAAATTTAAGAGAGCTCCCTGCTCTAATATTCATTAAAATTAACAGCATTATGGGCCCGTTTAGTTCGCTGATTCGAGTTTTTAATTCGAGTTGAGATGTGATTTTATGTGAGAACTTTTTACTGTAGCAAAAAAGTTAGATGTGATTATTTGTGAGAGCTTTTTATTATAGCAAAACTCAAATTCTAAACTCGAATCAGCGAAATAAACGGAACATATCTCCTCTTTTCCAAAATTAAAGAAACAAAAGAAATATGTAACTTTTTTCTTTTCACTAAAAGGTTAAAAAACCCACGATGGTGGGCCCACCCCCCAAAAATAGATAGACCATAGATGTACTACAAGTAGTGTGCATGGAAGATACGGAGGTGACACAAACACTGAAAAGAAAACGTAGTACTCGTGCGGAGAGGGCAACATAGAAAGCAAAGCAAAGATGGGGCCCACGTGTCGAGGTTCTTGTAGTACAAGTCAACTTTTTTATTTTTGGGTCAAATAAAAAATAAAAAATAGAAAAATAGAAAAATAAAAACGTGGGGGGCCTATTTCACTCTCTCCCATGTGAACCTGTTGGTTTGTCGGTTATGACCAACGAATCTTCTTTTTTTCTTTTTTTTCATTATTTTTATTTATGTTTTTATTCCTTATTTGATGACACGTGGTGGTCTCCACCGGTTTCCGCCCGCTGTTTACCGTTGCCAGTCAGTTACTGTTACTCTCCCCCCTACTCACCCGGGATTTCCGCGCTCTCTGTCCCCTCTCCAAACTCTTTGGATTATTATTTTCAGTGGCAACCCCAGCCATATTAACTTGTCCCACTCTAACCCCTGATATTTATTTCTAGAGATCTTGCTACCCTAACATTTTTAACATATAGTGAAACAAGTGTTGATGATAGCTAACACGGTATTACATGGGAAGTTTTTATTGAGGAAGAACACATTCTTATACTTGCGCAGTAAAAAAATAACAAAAAAATAAAAAAAATAAAAATTTAGGTGATTTAAAAAAATTTCTTACGTCTACAGAAAAAAGAGAAAAATTCACTAACCGTTTGAACAATTACACATTCAATAAACTTTTTTACTTTATCTCTCTACCCAAAACCCCTTTACACTCTTTTTGTCTATCTCTCACTCTTTAAAGGAGATACTATTTCTTTACACTTTTCTCTGAAACACTTATTTATTGACTCATAATAAACCATAAAATAACCTTTGCTCAAAAATAAAAAATAATATCTTACCTAAAAAATACAAAATAGTAACTTTCTCAAAACCAATTTGAGGCACTTTGTTAACAATATTTATTGAGAAAATTGCATGTGTGTGTTGTTTCGCATAAAAAGTAGATAAGAATGTAAAGTAATTTATATACATGAAAAGACTCTAGACCTAATAGGTTAACATTTTTTGTCAAATTGAACTAATTTTGCATGTGGAGTCTCCCTAACTCTTTTTAAGAGGAGTAAAATAGATAAAAAAAATAAACTTATAAAATATATCTATATGAAGAAAAGATCATATCACGAGGATAGTCCCGGTGTGATTTTTTTTTCTTTTTTGTTCATTTTTTTTTTACCATTTTATTCCTCTTAAAACATCCACTTGCTTTTCTCGTACTAGATTCCATCTAAAAATTTACAGATTATAAATTATATCACAAATAAAAATTATGTATTTTAGAAAAGATAGACCTTAAAAAGTTAATTTTGGAATTGGTGAAAATACCCTAAACCTATTGTTAGGATTATTAGGGCGAGTTTAGTTATAACTTCTAAATAAGTCTTGAAAAGTACAACACTTAGTAAATTAAAATGGGATTGTATAATTCGTTTCATAACCTGTTCCTATAAAAAGGAAAATGATAAATCCTCAAATATGAGTATAGCTTTGATAAGAATATTTAAGGGTAGTTTCAAAATGAAAAAAAAAAAAGTGATAATGTATTTGGTATTTTTTTTCCTCAAAATAATATTTATTTGGTATGTGAAATGTGTGCTGTTAAGGGGAGGAGAAAATTTTTAAGTAGGAAAAGAAGATGAGAATAAAAATAGATATTAGAAACGGAATTGCATATGAATTTGGTGGAAACAAATATTTTTGTTCTACTTTTTCAAATTATAAAAATGAATGTGATTCAAATACAATATTTGAAAGAGAGGCAATCGGACACGAATCTTGATGGGTCTTATCTTTTCACTGAATTAATAGTACTGAACCAAACACTATAACTTTTTGTACAATAAGGAACCTTCAATATTTTATAATTAAACACGTAATATTGAACTTAAATGATTTTCATGTTATTTCTATATATATCTGTATCCAATGGATATATATATATATATATATATATATATATGTACAAATTATTACATAAATACCGGAGTCCCCAAACATATTAAATAGAGAAGGGATAGCTGGATGACTACAGCACCTTTCTAGTGTTCGAACTACCATTCCATTTGATTTTTCCAAAATAAAATAATAATAATAAAAATAAAATTGGAAAAGGAAAACTTCAATAATAGTGTATTGTCTTTGTAAAAATCAAAAGTTGGAAACCCATGGATATTTCCGAAGGAGGGAGCTACAGATATCACTGTCTGGTTCCTGTTTCTAATTATGATAATTTGGAAATATTTTCATGTTCTACGTATAGTGGTAGTTATATGGACCAATATTGGTTTCCAAAAGCATCTAAATCCCTCACATGGCCAATTCAAAGCTTCTTTTTTTTTTTTTTTTTTTCTCTTTCATTTATAGTTAAGGGAATTAATAGTTGGCGAAAGAGGTCAAGACATAACATTTAATTGGACCCCCAAATTTCCAGTGTTATTTTTCCAAATTGCTAAATTACTCATATTATATAGATCATATGGGAGCTAGCTAGCTAGCCTTCAATTATGGCATATATGTAGCAAGTAGCCCATTAATAATTACCGGTCTGTATATGTTTCACCAAAAAACTATCAATTTCTTTTTTTGGTGTATACAAGTCATAAGCATTTCTTTCCCAATGGCATGATTAGTTTGGGCAAATGATTATTATTTTGTTCACTTTTACGGTGAGGTTACTTGATACAGTTAAACCAAAAGTTCACATGACAATATTAATGTTTATCCATGAATGAGTACTATATATAATTAGTACTTAAACTTTAGAGTTCTACGTACCTTTTATATATCATGAAATTAGTGATGAAATAAACATTTGCTTAGCTTCTTTTGATGAAGAAATTAATTTTCATTTTTCAATGGAGCAATTTTTGTTGATTTACCGACAGTTAATTACCGCCTCCTGATTCTAATGGGAAAAATCCGAATTCTAAATGGATTTTGGTTCATGCATATCGTTGAGGTTCATATGTACACAATAATTAATTATTAATTAATGGATCTTCATCTTCTAGAGAACTAATCCTATCGGAAACTAACTTTCAACAAGGAAAACTAAATTGTAGAAGGCTAACTGCTTATTCTAACCGCTACGTTTTTATAATGTTTAATTATATGCTGAGAGGTCTGAGTAATCTAATACATATAATGACCAGTTCAAATCCCATCATTATCTTATCGGAATATTAATTTAAATATATAAATTGACAGTCTAATAAGTCTAACTAAATTAATTGAATATTCTCTTGCTCGTTACACTTGATCGATGTTACCTGCATATCCCATTTTCCAAGGTTTCCTGACTAATGAACTAAATATTAGACCTAATGCAACGAATTGTGAAGCCCAAGTTAACTACTCTTCTTTTTTAATTATACAAATAAAAAATTTAGATTCACTGCAAGTAGACAGTTACCGTCCCCAAAATCTTAAGGGTGTAGAATCATTTAAGAGGAATTGTACTACTGATTTTTTTTTTTTTTTTGACTGGATGATTTTTTTTTAATGTTTAATGGAGTAAATAGTATATTTATTAGAATTCATATTATTTTACCCTTTTAATTTTAAAAGAAGATTTTTAGGGTAAAAACTAAAAATCAGTGAATATTATGTAAATGAATAATTAGTAAACATTAATAGTTATTGTATTTAATTTGGCGCCTCATGATAGTATAAATATGATATATATGGATTTATTAAATCTGATCATTAGACCATTTTAAATGTAAATGTTATTAATTGTATATTTAGTATCAAAAAGTGTGATATGTCATTTTCATTTTTGCTCCAATCCATAATACTATTTGCATTGATAAATCTACTTTTTTCCATAACCATTAAGTTTTGAAAGTTATAAAAATAAACTTTTATTTTAAAAATAATTAAGAAATACAAAAGTTGCAATGATTACATGAAAAAATAAACATTTCAACCAATAACAATCAAATACTAAAATTTTTATACGCTATACTTGATAGAAAAATTCCCACAAAGTAACATATGAGAAATTTGACATAACAAATAGTATTGCATTGGAGATGCTTTGAAACAAATCAAAATAAATGCCAAATTTATCAAATTTCGTTATGGGATAAATCTAGTAAATATAAAATTTATCAAATTTGATCATGAATATATCTAGTAAATGCCAGATTTACCAAATTGTTGTGCAAAGAAATTGCCTTTGAAGATGAAGTAACATAAGATGGGCTCAATTGACACTAATAACCATTATATTTATTAGAAGATTCCCAACATGATATATACGATCCCAAAACAATGTTATAGAATTTTATTGGTGCATGAACTAAGGTCTCGTTCATTTTATTTTTTTTGAGTTGAGAATTTGAGTTAAAAAGTGAATTTATGTGAGAGAAAATACTGAGCAGAAAAAGTTAATTTGAATTTTTATAAGAGAAAACACTTTAATAATAACTTGAATTATAATTTGAAGCAGTGAAAAGAACGAGTTATAAGAGTCTAAGATAATGTAATCATGATAAATTATGTCAGTTTTATTAAAACATTAGCAATTAAAATACAATCACATGACTACAAATTGCTAATGAAAAATTGCCCTCCATCTGTCTAAACAAATTAATTAAATTTACATTTGATTGAAAATAAGTAAAGGTGTGTAACTAATACTGAGTTAGTAGTGAAACCATATATATGTATTAAAAACCAACGAACCATATATTTATACGCACATATATATATGGAGAAATCATATACATCGGCGTACATACAGATATCATGTTTGTACGTATATGAACTAGTCGAAAGAAAGGATATAACTCGATCTTATCCGAAGAACAAGTCTAATTTCTAAATTAGATTCTCAATACATGGAACTGGGCTCAATAATCATTGTTTTTTTTTTGAACTTTTAATCCTATATGGGCATAAAAAAAAAAAAAAAAACCCATATAATTATACATGTATGGCACTGAGAATATGTATATGAGAACGTGGGGCTTTCGTCTAGCTTAGCTAGGACGATTCCTTTTTTAAATGAAGGATCGGAAAGATAGGCATTAAGCAGCTGATCAGCTAGTGTCCGGGCTTTTGTTGACATTCTTCTTATATATATATATATATATATATATATATATATATATATTTTTTTTTTTCCTTTTCAGATGTTGGTTTGGAAACTTTTCTCATCGACAAAAGGAATTGTCCTTGCTTTCTTGCCCCCGCATGCATTCAAAATTTTTGAGTACTACATGACAATTCTTGCGTCGATGAGAGATTCCAAGTTAATTTACTGAGCTGTATATATATATATATATATATATATATATGTATGTACATATATTGGGTAAGAAACTGAGCTGTGATTACCGGTATATGGGGTTGCCTAGCAAGCTCATCATAACAAGGAGTACAAACTAAGGACCTTGGTATTCTTAGCAAAAAGAAAAAAAAAAAAAAAAAAAAAAAGGAGACTTGGTAGGGGGGGGTCCTCATCTTAAGAGTATGTGTTGTACTTTTTTTTTTTTCTGAAAGAAAATGTGGTGTACTTATAATATTGTTCTAACGCTATACATGTATTTTACTGATCTTACTACGGCCAGATCATGTTATGATTAGTCCTGTTTTTTTCGTTGATTCGAGTTTAAAATTTGAGTTTTGTTACAGTAAAAAACTCTCAGAAACAGTCACATCTAACTTTTTTACTACAGTAAAAAACTCTCACATAACATCACATCTTAACTCGAATTAAAAACTCGAATTAGCGAACCGAACGGGAATATTGCTTCTTTTTCTTCTTTCTTAATCAATACTTACTTTAGATGAACAAAATATAAAATCGTCATATAACTATTTTATGTGATCATTGCTAGTAGGTTTTCGGTTGTGTGTGCGCGTGTGTTTATCTGAGGATTAATGCGATCTATATATTTGAAAACACATAATTGACCTACTAACGGTATACTAATTAGAATTAGTACTTAATTAAAATTAGTACTTCTTATAATGGTTTGATTGAAGTTTTGTCAAGTAGATGAAAGAAGATCAAATGGTACGTACACAAAATCAAAACTTAAGCATTTGGTTTTCAAAGCTCAGTATAAAAACTATTGACAATCTAAATTCATACCAAGCGTTAACAGAAATTGAAGAGACTTAGGGCATACTTAAAATAATAATAATAATAATAATAATAATTACAAGAATTAATATTCAGCAAAGAAAATAATTAAATTGTCACATATATATTAAACACACGCGAATAGAATCAAGCATTGTACGTAAAGGAAAAGGGCAAAAATTGTCTTCCCCTATCTAGTTTTCTATTAAACATCGATAAAGTACTTTCACATAATTGCAAATTAAGCGAGAATTAACAAATTAAGTAGTCTTCAAGCAGTATTAATAGTTAAGCGGAAAAATTGTCTAACGGGTAATATTCGACCGAGGAAACCAAAATCCAGTCAAATTGATTTCCCATAATCTTCACAAATATAAGCTTATTTAGTCTCGTTTTTTAAGGTTCCCTTGAGAAGAAAGCTCTTAGGCTCCAGTCCAAACCCCATGGCGTCTGATTTCTTCATGATCCTCAGCCTCTTGCATGACTCAACAAACATCCTGCGAAACACATTACCATGAAGCTATTAAAACGAAGGAACTTACAAAATTTAGGATGGCGTGGTTTAAAAGACTGTATTAAAAACTACTAATAAGTCTCTTTTTTAACTTTCAAATCTATATTAATAAAAACTAATATATATCTGCATACTTCTTTTTTGATATTTTAATTTGATTTTGATTAAATTTAACAGTCATAAACGTGCACTATCAGACTCACAGCAAAAAGACCCTTCAAATTTGTGAACATTACATATATATTTGTAAAATATAAAATTCACTTGTATTGCATAATAAGTTATAAGACTTTGCCTGCGCAGATCAATTTATGGTTTTTAAGGACAAATTTGCTTAGTCCTACCGACACTATTATGAGAATTTGGCTGTCGGTGGTATATTATGTCCTGTATTGAATGAAAAAAAAACTAAAAAAAAAAAAAAAAAAAAAAAAAAAAAAAAAAAAACCACTATCTTTGTTATCATAATTAATAATCACAAAATGAATTAATTACCAAAACCATCATAATTAAGCCTAACTATGGAGCCGGTTTTATGGACTAATATGTAATTAATTGTCTGATCCTGCGAGGATATGACTTCAGGCCACGTTTTACAGAATTGGTCAGTGTGTATGATTGTCACGTTTACTTTATACAGGCACGAAAATCTAGTTGTAGGCTTAACCCAATTTCTTGGTACCTGTTATGTGGAATTAATTTAAAGACAACATTGCAGCAGAATTATTGTTCTCTTTTTGACCTTTCCTCCTAATTTAAACCTTATATTATGCAGATTTGTCTAGTCTTTGCTTAGTGGACATGGACATGGAGAATATTTGACTCAGTTGGGTCCAATATTGACTTTGGGTCTATTAATGGCTATTGCTTACAATTCAAACACTTTGCCTCACAAAGAAGGAATTGTATGCAAAAAGACTTGAACATTTTGAGTCAAAAAAAGACACCGGGATCTAAATTACTAGGGATTAATTAAGATTTAAGATCCAAGGTTTGTTCAGCAAACTTTTTTATGTGATCATTAGGATTTAGGTTTAATCACTTTAATAATATATATATATATATATAAGCGCCAGGTATATATACCCTTTTGAGATTAATTTGACTAAGCAAGCCACTAAAACTAATAAAATTGAGATATATATCGAGGAATTATTCAGATTTTCTTTTGCATCAAAATAAGTTAAACAAATAATTAATAAATATACTATATATGATACACATTGCTAAATAATGTGCAAAAAAATTAAAATAAATTAAATTAAATTTGGCAGATATATTATTGAAGTGGGTCATATTTCAGGTGTGGAAATTGGAAATAAATTAAAATGGAGTTGGTGGAAAGACTTACTCCCAGGGGACATCTCCCACTAACATCCAGTCTCCATCTTTGTCTTCATAAATTGGAGCAAATTCGCAGCTGTCCGTATCCTTCAACCCCTCCCCTGTCATTAAACTTTATTTTAATACCGCCTTTTATTCTTCATCTTTAATTTTAATTGTTTAATTTTTTTTGTTTATTTTACTCATAAAGTTTAATAAATTAATAAGATAGTTGTATTCGCTCTTCCCTTGGTTTTGGTTGTCCATTTTTTCCGTACATACATATAGAGAAACGCCAAAATAAAAAATACTTGTTTACACTGGAGTACTATAAAGTGAATGAATTAATTAAAACTAATATCCAGAATTATGTTATTAATTCTTGAGGTCTATCGACCTCAAGGAAAACATGAATCAGGGTAAATTAATTTAGACAATATATATATATATATATATATATATGACAAGACAAGCACTATAAATTTATTTAGCAATCATTTCACCATATACAAGTAAAAAAGAGGTAAAAATTAAGTACTACAAGCCTTTAAAGTCTGTTAGAACGACTCTTAGGAATGCTTATGTGTAGAACTAATTAAATTCAGATAAGACCCCTATATAGCTCAACTAAGGGCTTTTTCAAAACCCTTTGCAAATACTATTTGGACTCATATTGAACTACCATTTTTAAAATTTAATAGTAACAAAAATTTTTTTTTTTTTTTTTAAAAAAAGAGAGAGAGATTAAAAAGAGATCAGTTAAAAGATTAACAAAATTTTAAAAATAATAATAATAAAAAAGAAGAGACTACTAGTGCATACCCATGCCAAAGCAGCCAAAGAGCTCCTCCAATGCGATTGCAAGATCCGAATAGCCCTTGTGCATGCTCAAATCTATTTTACGAAGAAAAGGAGCACCATCCATGCTTACTTTCACGTACACTTTCTCATTATTATTAAAGCTATTCTTCCTCCTATAAGAACACACCGGAGGCCATCCCACAACTTGGTTCTTCGACGTCGTTTGGCTTTTCCGGTCACCGCTAGCCTCGACGTCCCTCCCATCCCCGCCGATAATCTCCGAAAACACCCTCTTCTTCTCATTTCTGATCTCCTGACCGCCTCCCGGAAGACCCAACCTCAGCTCCGTAATTTCAAGTCCTAGACCTTCTTTTTCCATATCTCCCGAAGAAGAAATAATATTGGTTCTTAGTATATAGTTGATGTATACTATGTGCTAGTATCTTTTCTCTTTGGAAAATCAAAGATATAAAATTTTGTGTTTGGTGTTTGTGTAGACGTTATAATTTCAATTGATGATGACTAAAGGACTTAGTGATATATATAAATGGGTAATAGAGAGGACATAGTGGGAGCAATTACAGGTCAAGTATGGTTTAATGGTCGGTCACATGAGAGGCAGATGTGGGGACTATTTGCCCCCTAGAGACACTAATAGAGTCCGGCACCATAAGTTTGATATGCGACAGATCCTAGGGCTGTTTTTTCCCTGTGATTTGTTGGGATATGATCTTCGCCGTTGGTTGCGATGACTTGGTACATGCCATGTGATTTGCCTTATTTGTTGGGGGGTACTACAGGGTACTCTTTACCAATAAATTATGGTAGTAGGGCCTATTAGTACAATCGCCAACACGCTAGTATGTTTCTCTACACGCGCATGCATAACATACACATATATGCTGTATAGATATATATACATGTATTTATATCCTTTTATATACAGTATAATATTGTCGTATTTCATATTTCGTGCATTGCATTTGTGATCAGTTTGATAACGAATGAAAGATTGACAATTGATGCTACGTTATAGTAATACTTGTTATGCCTGATTATTTTGTTATACATATGATATATATTATGAAGAAAAATCGAAAATATTGAAATGGTGTTTCACCATGGGACCGAATTATGCAATATATTTTCTTTAGTTCTTTGAGAGAACTTAATAATTAATTAGGCGCAGTACTGTCAACTTCAAAAAATTTATGGCCCAGTGACAACCGCGTTAAGTTACCATCTTGGACCCCATAAAACTACATGGCAAATCCATCAAATGAACTTCCATTTTGGTAAGAGAAAAATTTCCACTTGTTTAATTTTAAGCTAAGAATATATATCTTCTTATTCAAAATACATCTTCTGAATTTGTTCCCTATACTTTATTTTTGGTCTACAAATTAAGTTACATACTTAATGCACCATTATATATATATATCCATTAATTTACCATCTCAGTGGTGACATGGTGGTAAGGATGTCTTATTGTAGTCTTCACTTCTATCCATCTAAGGTTCAGGCACAGACTGGTGGAATTTATGAACTTTGAATTGATAGTTGTTGAAGGCCAAGGCTAAAGACTCTTACCATTTCACCAGTGATCTTAGTAAACATTGATCCCTTTTTGTTTATAAAAAGAAGGGGAAATGATACATATACTTCTTAGAGTGCAAGGGATTTTACCATTTACTTTTGATTAATATTTTTTTAGTCAAATAATTATATTAGTTAAAAAGGTATTAATTAAGAGTAAGAGATAAAAATTCAGACGTATGTACTCTAGAGATAAGTTCAGTAACTTTCTCAAACAAAATATATATTAATGTGGTTTTCCAGTAATAATTATTACAAGATGTTTATACATGTATGTATAAGAATTTTGTTACCATACTAGCTACTTATGCGTCTTGGTCTCATGCATTCAAGCCTTTTACTACGGTATTTTTTCCTCATACAAATTTAAATTTTAATTCAAACGTTTCTAGTTCAAACCTATGATAAGAACTTAATTTTTAGTGCCCTTAAGTAGCTACTTAATTGTTAGTTCCCTACATACTCTTCTTTAGGGAAAATAGAATTATCCCTCACTAGCACCAGTTCAAATCACTCTCTTTTTATTTATTTGCCGGGTAAAACATCAGTCAGTACTGTTATAGTAGTGTACTACGTACGCCTACGGCGGCGCGTATTCATATGTAAGGACTAAGGAGTCAATAACCCTAATACGCACTCAAAGTGACCAAGATTCATTTATTATATGTATACTGTCACAGTAATGAAATTAAATATCGTGAACATTATATGAAAATCTAATTTGGAAAATCTACACAAATTCACTCCTTCAAAGTTCAGTCAGCAAAAAAATTGGAAGAAAATTGACTCCTTGACCACAAGAAAACATTACCATATTCCCAAACGTAGCATTTCTATTAGTTAAACATCTAATTATTTTTCTTAATTTGTATGGTACAAGAATGGTTGTTTGTTTGGATGTATATGCTTGTTTTTATCCCAGTTTCGTTCATTGTTGTTCCTTTTAGATATATTCTCAGAAGGTTATATTAGTCTCTCACAAAAAAAATAATAAAGAAAAAAAGGTCAAGGGGATAAAGATTTACATTTTGTAAATTAGATGGGATTCTTTGGGTTTAATTTTTAAGTTATTTTATTGTCGCTAAAGAATACGAATGCTTTTGGGCTCTCACAATAAGTGCTTGTACCAAAAAATATGAGTCAAGGTGCTAGAATTTGACATTTTGTGAATTAGAGGGGATATATTTGGGTTTTCCAAAACATAGGATAAAAAGTAGAGTTTTGCATAAATTCGGCGGTATTTTTAATATTTTTAATGTTTCCCCTCTTAGAAATATGAAACAAAGCTCATGGTATTCAAAAGTCCTTGTTCTCTGTTCATACAGAAAATCAGCATAAAAGAGCAAACACAGTAGCTATGTATGTTATAGCTCATCAGGGGAATCTTTGAATCTTTATTTCTTTTCTTCCCATTAACCCAATGTAGTCCTAGTGACTATTGATGTCCGATTTTGGCTATTACAAAACCTGACACAACCTCTTATATATGTTTGTCTATGGTAGTAGTGTTTGCCACCCAATAGGTAGTAATATATATGAAAGATGGGAAACAATTACTTTCCTAGATTCCGTCTATAGTGTCCACCGTTTTCAGTGAACAAGTCTTGTAAAGATACCCAAGTTGAACAAACCTAAAAAAGTATGTTGAAAAACACGACGTGACATAATAACCAAGTTGAATTTTTCTTTTTCTTTTTTTTTCTTTTTTTTTTTTTTTGTTTGGCTGAAAAATAACCAAGTTGCAATGTTGTTATTCTTATATAGTAATATTTATAATAATGTCAACATTAGGCTGAGGCTGTTTTCTCGGCTTTGGACATTATCTAATAAAGAGGCCCAAATTAGTTAAGCATCTATTAATCGAAAGAGTATTTTGAGGATTACCTTCTTTTAGCACCATTAATGACATTGATGGGTAAATATAGATTATAGAAGAGTACTTAGTTTCGTTCTGGATTCAACTATTCATGTAAATTAAACATAAAATATCATTGAAAAATTAACATGAAATTAGTAATGAGAATATCTTTTATGTAATTAGCTATTGATTTGCTTGTTGACCAAGTGCTAATTGGGACGTATGTGTCGTCACCAGCCGGATGATATAATGTTTGATCATTCATTAGAACTAATTAATTAAACACTAAATTAATTACGTCACTACAAGAATAATCACTTTAAGAAACCAAACTTTTTGATACCAAAACACACTTTTTGTTACCAAACTTTGGTAGCTGAAACTATCAAGGCTTTAGTTACCAAATTTGGTAGTAAAAACAACACAATCCGCTACCAAATATAATTTGATAACAAATAACATGGCGAGAAATGAAATTTGGTTCCCACAAATAGTATTTTGCTATCAAAATAATATTTGGTAACAAAAGCATAAGATTCTGCCACCAAAATTTGGTAGCAAAATATTATTTTTTTGCTACCAAACATGTTTTGGTAACAAAATGTTGGCGGGAAGTAAAATTTTTTCCCGCCCAAGGTATTTGCTACCGAATTATTTTTGGTAGCAAAACAAATAACATTTGCTACCAAGTGTTGGAAGCAAAATATAACTATCTACCATTAAAATTTAGTAGCGAAAAGTCAAGTTTTTGCTACCGAAAAACATAATTTTTTGTAGCAAACAGTTAAGTTTAAGCAATCTTAATGAATTATGAAGCCTGTAGTTTTATAAACATAATGCAGCAGCCATAAGGTAAGGAGAATTTATACCAGATTCTGAATTGTCGGATTTCATTGTAGTTCTGACATGATCTAACAATTTAAAACTATGACCCGCTGGTAGGGTATTTTTTTATACTACCATAAAATTCTCCAAGCCATAAGACAGTGCCACGAATTTTTCGCGGTTGTTAAGTGGTTGGATTTTGATTCTTTGAATAGTAACTGATTTTCGAACCGTCTTGCAGTTGGTGTTTTCACTTCTACTTCCCTGTTTGTTATTCTCTCAACTTGGATAAGCCATCACTCCGCAGGTGGTTTATACCCGCGAATGTTGTTCTGGGTTCCATATCAGGTTCAGTAATAGGTTTCATTGTAGCCAGCCTTGTTCGGCCACCAAACCCCTTCTTTAAGTTTACAATTGTGCAAATTGGAATTGGTAAGATGCTTATCATCATGGTACAAGTTTCACCTTGTTTTAAAGATTTCATCTCTTCAGTTAGATTGTACAAAGCTGAATGATCCACCATGCTTGAAGTTCTTTCAGTAAATTTCTTTAAGAACTGCACCCTAGCTACTTTGGCTTTACGCTTCTCATGCGTACGCTTATTTCGGATTATCTTATATTCAATGCAGGGAACATCGGAAATGTACCGCTTGTTTTAATTGCAGCTTTATGTAGAGACAAAAACAACCCTTTTGGTGACACATGTAGCATAGACGGAACTGCATATATTTCATTTAAGTATATTACCACTTGAAATCATAATTTCTTTGTTCTTTTTAACTAATTAACAAATAATAATTTTTATGTAGAACACACATTCGAGTTCTGATTTAAATGCTTCGGGAGAGTACTTTGAGGTCTTCAAGAATACTCATTGGAGCGAATCACGGGGATGGACAGCTGAGAGAGCAAAGGAAGATTATGTAAGAATTACTAAACACTTTATCATTTCGTTTGATTTTGTATTTTTTTTACTCTAACTTGAAAGTTTATAACACTTCGCCTAATGCAAGAACAAATGATCAAGATCCGCGTTGCTCGTTTAAGTGAGGTACCAGAGGGGTCAGAACTTGACTTTGATGCAGAGGAATAAATTTACTCTCAAGTTTTGTCAAGTGAGAGGTATGAAAAATATGGTTTCTGTTGGGAATAGTGTCCTAAAAGCATAAGATGTAATATGATATTTATTATTTAAATAATAAAAGAGTTTATTCATCATT